GGACACCTCTCGCAAACGATCGACGGACTATATATGGCCTTGTCCAAGGCCGTATATAGGGCCTTGTCGACGGACGACGTTTCGTCAGCAAGTCCATCAGCAACCAATCGCAAAATTTCCGGCTCCATTGAAGACTTTTGAGTCTTTTTTCTTTTCGCTTTTGGGCTCGATTTATCGGTTTTTGTTTCTGGCATTTTTTTTGTTTGATTTATTTTATTTTATTTTTTTTTTTTTAGATCAGCTTAATTGGACATTTAATAACACAACGACATCAAGCCAATCACAATAACCCGAGTCGCTTAAGGTCAGGTCACTCGGTCACGCCAATTGACCTTGTCTAAGAAAAAGACTCCTTTGGACCAAAGTCAACTGAACACTCGAAAGTCGAATGAAAGATCGAATGAAAGATAGCATGACACACTCAATCTGCAAATTGCAACCGTGAACCATGCAAACATGCTAGTGCTATGAGAAGAGTGAAAACCCATTAGATTTACTCAGCTCGACAACACGGATCGACTTGCAGCATGACCTTATCTTTTCTATTTAGGCCATCATTTTGACTTTAAGCCAAATTTCCAAAATGATCTTTCGAGATCAAATTATCAAATGACCTTTGTCCTGTGAACTATTACTATTTCTCAAGACCGTGTTTCGCCGAAATCGCGATTCGGCATATGAGTCAGCTTGCATTATCCGATTTGTGAAAAAATTGTCAAAATCGGGAACAAAAATGCATGAATAGGTAGGTATTTTACATTTCGTGACCTCCAGTTACCTCAGCGATGACCTAATAAAAAATGACCATTACAATTCTAAAAGATTTTATAGCCAGCTTCTATTGCTTTTTACCGCGTCTTACTAGCTTGCTTACTTTTGGAGATAACCTTCTCCCCTCTGCCATGGAGAAGTTGTCTGAGAGACCCACCCGGGCGCGGGCTTATGTTTGCGCTGAGTGTGAATGCTTAGGTCAAATCAGAGAGCTTTTCCAAAAAGAGCGTTAAAGGAGCTATTGGATGCACCTTTTTGCGTCGCTGTATACATCTAAACATACACGAGTCATGCGCCAGTTCGTCGAAATTGTTCAAATAGGCGAACTTCGACGATTTCTGGTGACCTGACCTTTGACTTGACAAACAAAAAAGACGGATGCATTTTGTTCATGATTTTTTACGCTATGACGAATGCCGCTCACCACGTGTCTTTACGTGGCTTAGAAGTCTACACAGGGGCGTGAAAACGCCCACCTACCCAGCACTTACGAGAAAATTCAGACCACTAGCACGGCGCGGATTAAAGATTCAGATTCAGATTCAGATTCGTTTATTAGCAATAAGTCCACAGCACGGTGGCTTTTCACCATTGCACGTCAATTGACAAGGGATATAGCAGGGACAAGCACATCACATGCATTCATATACAGACTATCATATAGACATCCAGACAATGACGCGTAAAACGAGCGTTTCAAGGCGGTTGAGACATGATCACACTTTTAAGGTGTCTTTTAAAATTTGTGATACCGGGATCGAGCCCCAGTTCATTGATGATAGTCACACCGCGGTAACACAGGCGACGTTTACCGGTTTCTGTACGGATACGTGGTAACGTTATTCGACCAGCATTCGACCAGCATTTCTGGTGGCATGGTCATGGTGCATGTTTGATGGACGCCCGATGGTGCTGAGCAGAGCCTCTGGTTGTCCAGTGGTAATCGTCGACTGAACAGTAAAGACTGAACGTCGACTGAACGTCGACTTAAAGAGGTGGTTTTGGGGGTTTCTGGGTTGCCATTTCAATCTTCGTATTTGTTTTGCGCAAAGATGATGTATTCGGCTCCAGTAAGTCTTCCAGTCAATCCTGGAAACGCTCGTGGTGTGTCCTTTTCTACCTCGGTGGGTGGCTCCCCGATGCGTAGCAAATTGCAGTTAGAACGAAGAGGACCTCGCTGTGGTAATAGAATTACTCGCAAGCTTAGCGCCAGCGGCACTATCTTCAATAATCTTGAGCGTCACCTTCCACGACTTCGGACAGTTTCCCAAAGCTGGGTATATTGCTGGGTTTAAAATAAGATTGATTGACTTCTTTTTTCTTCTGTTTTCTTTCCACTTCACAAAAGAAAACTGCTTCGTTGCCTTGCTGCCTGCGTTTGTGCGAGACTTTTAAGTGTCATGTATTTGATTTAATGCGTATTATCAAAAAAAAAAATGGTTACCTTCTACGGGCCTACGGCTATTTCATATTAATCACAATGACTTTATTGTTGTTTGCACTGTTCGAGCAATCGAGATAATATGAGAAAACTACCTACCTAAGTGACGAGGCTGATCTGAACCGTGCTGTAAACAATAAAAATTAAGTGCACGCTCGCGCTTGTAAATACTCCGGATCCCCTCGAACTTATCCTGAATGTGGCTATGATATTGGTGAAAAATTTTATAAATTCTGCAACAGAGACACATAAAAGCACATAAAATGAAGCATTGCTTATTTTTACAGGAAATGAATGTCGCAGCTGCACCACTTGGGGAAATCTGGCAATTATAGTTTATCCCAGTATACCTGAGCTAGTATTATCCTAAATTGTTTTGTTCTCATTTACATGATCTGTTTGCGTCAAATATCAAAACTGGTGCATTAAATGCTATTTTGAATTTCCGCCTGTTACTTTAATAAAATCAGATGTTTGAAACATGACGAAAAAGCTTAAGTTTCTATATAGTTTTAACTAGGGCTGTCTAGTTTAATACTAAATAAATATACCAAGCCCCCGTGACGTCACGATCTGTCCAACCTTATGTTGTAGTAATCTTGAACCGAGTCTACACCTTTTTAGGCGCAATTTCAAAAATTTAAAGACCAAATTCAAAAAGTTTACATTCAAAATGCACGTGAACGTTTTGAATTTGGTCTTTAACTTTTTGAAATTGCGCCTAAAATGCTGTAGTTACTGCCCACTGGAAGAAAATTGCCTTTTCACAAAACCGGCCCATACCTCCCGGGTCTCCCCTACCTGTTAGGTTCGGTCGCCAACTATCGCTATTTCAAGTGCCATATGCATGTGTGTGTACAGTCAGAGATGGTCTGTTTTCGAGGGCACCACGTCTGATAAATGAATATTTTAGGGCCTCTCCGACATCTGATATGGATATGTTTTTCGATGGTTTTAGCACATTTAGGAGATGTGTCGTGAACTATGTGAGAAGCCGCTAAATGTGCAGCTGCTCTTCGTGATTTTAATGATTTTGTCATTGTTTTGTGTTGTATTATTATAGGTACGACTTCGTCTTTAAATGGGGTGTCCCCGTCGACGATGACTTAACCCTCGCATGTGTAGGGGGGGGGGGTCGGATGGACCCCCCCCCATGGTTTTTCGCGAATAACTCGCGTAAAAAGCGGCCGATCGCGACGAAACTTTTAGTACCCTCGCATTGATCAATTTTACACCTACCCTGAAAATTTCATGACCCTGACCCCAATGACCTTTGACCTGTGACCTCTTTTCCGAGACCATGTTTGGCCGTAATCGCGATTCCGCGTATGTCGGCTCGCATTAGCCGCGCGTTTGCAAGCTTTTCGTGGTTTCAAACGTTCAAACATGTGATTTGATGTTGCTCCCATGCATTAGGGTGGGTGTCAAGGTCACCTGAAGGTCAGGTCAGGTCATTGACCTTTGGTGACCTCGGTTCACTTTTTCGAGTTTTACATGTTTCTAGGCTAGTTTTTTAGCTGAACTCGAATTTAGCAACCATTTGAACATTTACGAAGTAGTTTTGGTGAATTCGTAACATGTTACGAAGCTGTCAGAGGCGGTTGACACGTACTACGAATACCCGTCACGGCGCCTACTGGTTGACCTGACCTGACCTGACCCGACCTGGTCTAAATGCTTAAAGACATCATCTCAGATCAAAACTAACACGATATTCGTGATCAGCACCCCGAAAAACCCCTTAGCAGCCACACTTTACGACTTTCTAACAGGTCCCGATTTTCCCGACTTTGGGTCATTGACCTGACCTGAAAGGTCAACCAATGACCTAGCATCTTAAAATTGGGTATCATCGGCTTCCTCTCGTCACGGGCAACACGCTCGTTTTTTCCGCGAAGCTCTAGCTCGATCAGGGGCCAAACGGCAAGGGGGGGGGGGTCCAACCGACCCCCCCCCCCCTACACATTAGAAGCTGGCAAATGCCGCACACATGCGAGGGTTAAATAAACTTAACTAAACTAAACATGCGGCTGACCTTCTCCGGCGCCAGCAACCCTGCTCGGGACGGCCGAGTCGCACTCCACAGTCGCTGTCCGAGACCCTTTTCAGAGGCGAGGAGAAGTTTGCTCACCATCGCAAGTTGTGTGGTAGCCTCCGGCATCCGGTAAACTTCTCGGTGCACGCGAATGTCGTGACCCAAGAAATTGGCCAACAGGTCAAGCTCGTTGTCCCTGAGGTTCAGGACCTGCGACCTTGTCGCTATAGGGGGTTTTCACGTGACGTCACAGCCGGCTGGCCCTTCGGTCGGCGCCATCTTTGGGGACAAGGAGGCGATTGTGGAATAGGCGCGCGGGCGGGAGTTCGATTGTTTATAGTGGTTTGTAGGTATCTTGCGTGGATTTTCGTTGTCCGATTATCACCCTGTGTTGAGATAAGAACGATGGTGAAGTTTTGTGCAGTCTATGGGTGCAGTAACAGGTCAAACCGTGAAAGGGACAGGCGTTTTTTAGCATACCAGCCGTAATAAAGCACAGTGATGAACAAACGAGAGTGCTCAGCCGGGAGCGACGAGCGAAATGGCTTGCGGCCATCAAGAGGAAGGATCTTACCGAGGAGAAAATCCGCAATGCTTCAGTATGCAGTGATCACTTTTCTTCTGGTGAGTAGAGTTGACGTATTGAGATTGCACAGAACCCAATTCCTATCTTTATCTCACTGTGTGGTTCTAAGAAGATTTGACTTGTTTTAAGTGCTACACAGTTTATTATGTAACATAGTTTGACTTTGAAATGCAATGCAACAGCTTCAAAGAGCATGCTTTTGATGAACTTTTGCACTTTCAATTAAACACAATTCAAATTGCAGATAATTGCTCGCACAGATATTTGGGGTTTATGCTTTTGCTTGTTTGAACTAATCTCTATGTCATCTTTTCAGGTCAATCTGCAGTGCTGTATGATACGACAAATCCAGACTGGGTCCCATCACTGAAGCTTGGACATTCTGAGGGAAAGCCTTCTACGTCTGGTGCTGAGAGGCACAAGAGAACCCAGAACCGAAACGCCAAGAAGCTCCAGGTGGAGGCTGAGTCATCTGAGGTACAGCAGGGTGGAACTGGAGACTACAGTGCAGCTGAGACTTCAGCTGGTAGTGGTAATGGTCGCGAGTATAATGCCACAGCTGGTGTCAGTGCTGAAGTGTGTGACAGTGCCATGACTACAGTCGGCACTGAAACAGACTTGAAGGGGGACTATATTAAGAACCTGGTTTGTGACAACCAGCTTCTTCGAGAGCAGCTGAATGCTGCCAAAGCTAAATGTGAGCAGTCATCGCTAGATGAGGGCTCATTTGTCAAAAGTAGTGACAAGGTTCTGTTTTACACTGGCCTACCAAATTGGAATGTCTTGAGTTGTGTCCTGACTCTTGTGAGTGGTTGTCTCTCCCAGGCAGGTTCACTGACACCATTTCAGCAACTACTCCTTACACTCATGAAACTAAGGCTGAACCTTACAGAAAAAGACCTAGCTTATAGGTTTGGTGTTTCTGTGTCGAGTGTGTCCAGGACATTCCTGCAGGTGCTGAATGTTTTATATGCCAAGCTCAAACCGCTGATAATATGGCCAGACAGAGATGCTCTCCAGAAAACCATGCCCATGTGTTTTAAGAGGTATTGTAACAGATGTGTAGTGATTATCGACTGTTTTGAGTTATTTGTTGATCGCCCGCTCAATCCTCTGGCCAGGGCTGAGACGTACAGCTCGTACAAGCATCACAATACTGTTAAGTTTTTGATCGGAATCACCCCGCAGGGCACTGTGTCGTTCATTTCTGACGGCTGGGGCGGGAGGGTTAGTGATAAGCATATCACTCAGCACTGCAACATCCTTGACAACCTAGTCCCAGGTGACGTGATACTGGCTGACCGAGGCTTCGACATACAGGAAGCCGTAGGATTCTACTGTGCTACAGTGAAAATACCTGCTTTTACCAAAGGCAAAAAGCAGCTGAGTGGGATAGAAGTAGAACAGACTAGGCGCATTGCTAACGTGAGAATTCATGTCGAACGGATCATCGGCCTGATCAAGAACAAGTACCTTATCCTCAGTGCTAGTCAGCCAATAGACTTCATGCTGGTTCCAGACCCGACATGTGTCCCAACGCTGGACAAGCTCGTCACGGTGTGCTGCGCACTCGTCAACATTTCTGTGATTCTGTGGTCGCCACAGACTAGTTAGGGTAAGGGTGGTCATGTGGCGTACGAGATTGATTCCGCGGTTACCTGCATCATTGAGGAATCGTGCGGCGTGCCTGCTCATTGACATTGTTCATGCATCAGTGATACACAAATATATCGCGATGTGATCGAATCATTGGTGTTTTTTTATTATTAAGGTCGTGCTGGTGCAAGGTTGCGTCGCTGTATTCAATTATCCTTTCCAAAACTGGCAACTATTAATGATACGACGAAACAAATAGATAAGACATAAAATTGCGATCTCACGTGTATTACATTGCCACATCATTGCCACATAGCAGAATGCACAAGCTACTCGCCAATTCTAAATCTCACGACCTTTCCCTTCACGTAAACGGCGATGGACGAGCCAGAACTTTCAGAAAGACGTGACCCTGTCGCCGTCAGAGTGTGGAGATCTGTCGCCGGTGCAGGGCGTGGCTGTCCAGCTGTCACCGGCGGAGGACGGGGACCTGTGACTGTCAGGATGCGGGGAGCTGTCACAGGCGGAGGCCGGGAACCTGTGACTGTCAGGATGCGGGGAGCTGTCACAGGCGGAGGGAGGGGAGCTGTCACAGGCGGAGGGTGGGGACCTGTCACTGTCAGGATGCGGGCACCTGTCACCGGCGGAGGGCGGGGAGCTGTCACCGGCGGAGGCCGGGGACCTGTGACTGTCAGGATGCGGGGAGCTGTCACAGGCGGAGGGAGGGGAGCTGTCACAGGCGGAGGGCGGGGACCTGTCACTGTCAGGATGCGGGCACCTGTCACCGGCGGAGGGCGGGGAGCTGTCACCGGCGGAGGGCGGGGAGCTGTTCGGCGGAGGCCGGGGACCTGTGACTGTCAGGATGCGGGGAGCTGTCACAGGCGGAGGGCGGGGAGCTGTCACCGGCGGAGGCCGGGAACCTGTGACTGTCAGGATGCGGGGAGCTGTCACAGGCGGAGGGCGGGGAACTGTCACCGGCGGAGGCCGGGAACCTGTGACTGTCAGGATGCGGGCAACTGTCACCGGCGGAGGGCGGGGAGCTGTCACCGGCGGAGGCCGGGAACCTGTGACTGTCAGGATGCGGGCAACTGTCACCGGCGGAGGGCGGGGACCTGTGACTGTCAGGATGCGGGAAGCTGTCACAGGCGGAGGGAGGGGAGCTGTCACAGGCGGAGGACGGGGACCCGTCACAGGAGGAGGACGGGGATCTGTCACCGACGGAAGGCGGGGACCTGTTACTACAGCTGGAGCTAGCACACTTTGAGAAGTGCCCGTGGCGAGGTCCGCGTTTTCCTTGTCTTTCACAGCAGGGCGCGAGTACCAGCGTCCTAGCAGCTCAGGCAGAATACAGAGCGTGACGAAGTCTCGCGCCAGCTGTATCTTCTCGGCGATGAAGAGCGGGTCCTTCACAATCCGTTCCATGTACACGGATGCTGGCGTCCATACCACCAGATCGCAGTAGGCCGTTCCACTGCATTGCAGCTGGGCTTGCACCTGCAAAACAATTATGCATATCTGGATTATACGTAACAGAGCCGAGGGTTTCAAGCAGGGGTGCAGTTTCGAATTCAGTTGGGGGTGCTCAAGCCACTCCCTACTGGTGCTCGAGCAACCCCAACTTGGGTCAGAAAGTGGGCACTCTGACCCAACTTGTCAGAAAGTGGACCAAATCCCAGGAGAAATCCGGATTTTGATGTCACTTTGAGCGATTTCCACCCTCTGAGCACCCCCAACTTGTTTCGCACAACTACACCCCAGTATGAAGAAGTGGAAACATAAGTCATACAGTAAAACATACAGTTACAGTGTTAATTAACCGTGTGCAGAAGTCCTACAGTTGATAATACAGTGAGAACTGCACCGACCTGGTAGAAGTATGCATGATTCCTCTTCAGCTGGGTGCGAACGTTTCCTTCAGAGTCCACCTCTCTCTCGAACATGTTGTTCTCCATCAGTGGCAGTGGCCCAGTGTCGTCTTTGTGGCAGTAGGGACACTGGAAACATAAAACAGCAGTCAGTTGCTTGGTCTAAATATGTCTAGCACTGTACTACAGTATCATTGTACTACTCACTGAGTGAGTAGTACAATGATGCTGATACAGAGTAGTATTCTACTGTTGCACCTACTATGATGTAAAATTAATATCTTTAAAAATGATATACAGAAGGCCAGCACTTGCACTAGTGGCTCCAAATTAGATTTACGTTTGTTTGCCATAGTTGTCAGGAGAGAGAATCAAACAAGTGGTAGGTATTACAACAAATCATCCTCATTCACCAAGGCTTAAATGACATTTTGAAATGAATGTGATGGGCAAACTAGGCCTTAGAAGAAAACTCACCTTGACTTCCACTACTCCATTGCCACAGCAGCTGCAGGTGACCAGGCTGTCTGGTGTGGCTGCCAGAAAGCCGTGCTCCTTGTCGATGAACAGCCCACAGGCTTGCAGCTCCCAGTCTCTGTGCTTCCCTTCTTGTAGGGCATTGTAGGCAGACAGTCCTTTCTGTTCATGCTTGCACCCCCACTGTGTTGGTTGTGACTTGAACTTTGACAGCTCTGGATAGCATATCCTCATGAGTAGGCTCATGGCAGGGGTCCTTGTCTTTGTTGTACACACAGCTTTGAATTGTGATGCCGTCACTCTCCCTGTTCTCATGGAAAACCAAACACTTGATTTTGCTTGTTTCCTTGTCTTTTCCTCCACAGTTTTTCTTTCCTTTTCAGTAGTGTCATAGATCTTCATCTGCTCTAGTCCCAAATCCACTAACTGATCATAGCTCAGTTCCATGTTGGCCTTGTCAAACACAACTCCAACAAGCTGTGGCAGATCACTGTGCAGACTTTCAGGGACATAGGCCTCAGCATATGGCTCGATCAGAGATAGCACTGCTGGCTTTGAGCCACTCTGTGATAGAGCCTTAAACAGGCTGTCCAGTTCACCCTGGCTTGGGCCATCCACAGGCATGTGATGCTTTGCCTTTGGTTTGCTTGTAGCTGGTGTGAACTGGATGTAGCGCAATGGCTTTGGCTGCACCTTACTGACAGCACTTGGCATCACCCAATATGCCTTTTTATCTGTGACTGTTAGGGAGTCCCTCTTCTTCACTCCTGCTTCAGCTGCCCACAGCAAAGATGCCACGTGGCTACAGCTCTCACCCAAACCTGCCATGCAGTTGCAGTGAGCAGTGTGCACACGACCTGACTCCTCGCACACAACCCACGGAACAAGAGGCTTCTCTGACAGCTTCTGAGAATGGTTCACCTTAGCTATCAGCAACACTTTTCCACCTGGAACTTTCCTTACCAACACTTCCCTCACCCAACCACTGACAAACTTCTGATGACAATCGAGATTCTTGTAGTCCATCAGTTGATCTTGTGTGTACGGACTACTTGAACAAAGAAGGTACATCCCCACATGTATGTAGCTCACAGATGGCCAGAGATCTACATTATCTTTCCAGTTCCTTACTGGTATTTCATACGGATCCACTCCGCCAAGATATATATCCAGCTTTTCTTTGTACCTCTTCCGAGCAGTGGCGTCTGCGATAGACTCAAAATAGCCTGATAACATACCACTTTCATCTTCAACCCTCTTTCTCTTCGTCCCAGGCATGACTTCAAACACTTCTGATTCACAAAAAGTCCTCAAATAATACGAAACTTCTCAATAAACCCACCTAACTTCGCCACTCCAACGCACTCTACTGTATACGAGGCGCTGATCTTGTCCCCCAAGATGGCGGCCGACCATATTTGGGTGGCGAGCCGTGACGTCACTGAAAACCCCCTATATGTTTTCGAAGCCTGGTGGATGTGATCGTGCCTGGGTTCCTGATGCCACTTTCCGGCGCAAATCTGCGCAAGCAGTCGCAGCCTCTGAGAGGTCTGAGGTCCGAGGACATGCTGTTGGAAAACAGATACGGAGAAGAGTCTGTAGTCGTCACTCGACCAGACGTCAAAGCGCCGCCGAATACTGAGCAGTGTATTCTACTCGTGTTAGTTTCTGTAAACGATACAATCAATTAACACACAACCACGGAAATCGTCCCGAATGGCCCTCAAAGGTTGGGCCTCACACTGCACGTGCACACAGCACCGGGTTACGTCCGTTAGCAGCAGTTCACATGGGTCAATACGCATCAATCAATAGACCAGTCATCAACAATCAGGCGCGGTAAAGAAACAACATCCGGTGAAAATAAACGAGTACAATAGGTAATTCTTACCGGCCTTTGGCGCCTCCACGCCACTGACGGCGCTGACGCCGACTCCGGCGAAAACCGCGCTCCTGCGCCCTGGGCGGCGCACCGCGGCGTTCACGACGCCTCTCGGGTCGCACTACGACGCTTCTCGTGTCGGCGTTACGACGCCCCTCGGGTCGGCGTTCACGACGCCTCCCGTACCGACGGCCTCGAGACACGACGCCTCACGAGGCGTTCACACGCCTCACTCCGGCGAACCCGGCGCACCTAACACAAACAGGACAGCCTCTAAGTAACAAATCCGACAATGATCATCGACCAACGACATTCCCAGTTATTTCGTATTTCATTTACGTTAAATTGCAGTATAATTCACGCATCATCATTTGACTTACACTGCGTCCGCGGTTCACACCTGCCACACACGACCGCTCACGGCGGAGACCGGCACCGGAAAGAACGCGCCTAGAGCGCGTCCCACTGCGCAGTCCACGTCACCGGCGAAATATTCCACTTTTGCGTCGCACAGTAACTAATCGAAAATAACAGTACGAATAAATGCATCACAAAATACCTATTGTTATACTATAGCCAGTGTGGCGACGCAAAGCATACATAAATTAAATCGCGAACTATATTTTGCAAAACAAAACAAACTACTCGCAACCCATCTCTATGATTAGAGTTGCCGCTATTTAGCCAGCCAGACCGGCCGGCCGTAAACAGGCTCCGACCATCGAACCCGGTGGGGCGTAAACGGACGGTCTTCACACCGGCCGAAGAGCTGCCGCTTTTCAGCCGGAAGGGCACACACGGACCCCGGCTATCGAGCCCGGCAATGCGTAAGCGGGCGGTCTTTACAGAGTCGACCCCTGCGATGTCGTGCCGCAGTACTACCGCAGTCAGCGTCTCCGGAATAAACACCAGGGGGATTTGGGCCATCTGAGGCCACTGTGGCCCACACCATGACGCCAGCGGGTTTCTGCCGGCGGTAAACGGTCCCGATACTCGGGTCGACACTGTCAGAACTTGTTGCCAAAACCCTGTCATTCTGGGTGTTAACTTGGGGCTCCGCCGTGAAGATCTTCTCGTCTGACCGGATGAAGACCCTGTCCCCCGGCGCTGCGCATCGCCTGAAACATCTTCTATGCCCTCTCCAGCCGCTTTGCCTTTGATCCTTGCGAAATCAGGTTTCGGCGTAGTATTTTATACCCAGATCATCTTCGACAATCCTGCAGATTGCTCCACGTGACTTTTGGAGGTCCTTCGCCATCATGCGGATGCTTCTCCGAGAATTGGACACATGGACCTGGACACCTTTTTTCGGACCATGTCAACGAGCTGTTTGGTGCGAGCACTTCGTTTTCTGCCTGGAATGGGTTTGCTTGAGGTTGTTTCCCGCCTCTTGGTACCTTTTCAGAACATTGTAAAAGGTTTTCAGACACACTTTCACCTGTTTTTAAATGCTCTTGTGGCTGGCACCGGCCGATTTATCAATCAGTCACAGAGCGGGCCGACAAGGAGGTTTATCTAATTAGTTGTGAATGGACGGCGGGGCTTTGCGTTTTGCCCTCCATCTTCTGACTCTTGCAGCTGTCCATCATTCCCATGCCCGAATGATTCCCCTTCGTTTCCTCCACCCTCTTCTTCTTTATCATCATCTTTGTCATCCAACCCAAGAATTATCCCCAGGTCCTCTCCGGAATACTTCGAAACGTTACCAGAGTGCAGGGTCATCATTCAAATTGCCGCTTTGGGAAACTCGAGTGTAGTGTCTGACAATAGGCTACTCTGCACATGTTTACGACCCATATGTTTTGTCAAAGCCTCAAAGTCTGATTTTGACAGAGCCAGCATTGGTGATGTCGTACCGCAGTACTTCCGCAGTCAGTGTCTCATGCTTCAACGCTCCACTCCTCGCAACACGCAATATCGTCGGCACGTCGGCCGCCAGCTCCCTAGTGATAGTCTAGCTAGCCGATAGGTGGCGGAGATCGCCGATGTCGCTGCCTGATTTACTCTTTTTCCAGCTGATACCATGTGTCCCGTCATGAATGTATTTGTGCCTTGTGTTTGTCCATGGAAGCCGATATATGTGCGTTGTCATTTTCCAATAGCATTGCCCGTGGCCGTGACGGTGCTTTCGTTTTCTTCGAGTGTTTGTTCGGAAAGTTTCTTCTTTATCCTCATCGCATTGTTTTTCCATAACACCGATCATTGGTGGGTGTTTTGCTGTCGAATTGCCATCAACCTAGGGACTTGCCTCGAGTGTTATTACACCAATAAATTTGACGCAACAAACCACAACGCGACGGAACAGGATGCCGGTTGTTATGGACAACAGTAGTTCACTAAGTCTGCGAAGACGATCTCTCCCGCCTCCGTGAGACGGTGAACGCACTCCATCAGCGGTGTGATCGCAGCCAGGATGACCTTTCCATTTTGAGTCGTAGTGCTGATTTTCGCAGACTCGCTGCTGATGGCTTTCAGCTGCTCCTGCACACTGAGAGAAATCCCGACTCCCCGTGACACCCCCAGGGGGAGTCCACCAAAACGACACCCCGAAGCTTACAGGTAGTACTCCTCATTACGGGAGCTACTTAGTTCCCCTGCGTTTTTATAATCATAACGTGATCTTCTAATGTCGTGACATGGGCGCCGATGACCACTGTAGTCCGGGCGCCCAAAAACCCCAATTCATCATCATCATTCCCTCCAGAACTCTCCATTACAATTAAAACTTCCCTGGAAAAACTGTAACACTCCCTACCGTTTTAGAAATCGCTTCAGTCTTCATTGATCTCCTTTATCCTATCAAAACAAATAATCCACTCCCTAAAACTCCCTTCCATTATTCTTGATGACTCTCTTATCGTTTCATAATTATTCCCGACAACTCAATTTCATTGTTCCCCCCCCCCCCCCCACCCGAAAAAATGGACGAATAGCGGAACAACCCTAAACCCGTGTAGTGGCGTGTACCCAAGCACAGACAAAAAATATATTTCAAGAAATGTATATGACACGCTCTCCGGGAATCTCACTCCATTTGCTTCACGGTCGCGATGGCCGCCGCTGATGGCGGCACGTCGACCTTCAGTCCACCGAACACTTTGATTCTCAGAAACCAATTCAGATTGGCCAAGTTTTTAGGAGTTTTGATGTTAAAACTCCAAAAGGCGTCCTGCCACAGCAGGAATGCTTGGTCTGGTGGCGCCGTTACCACCTCCTGGGCCTGGGCCTTGACTGGAATACCCCTTTGAATTATAGCCCTTGAAGCAGCCTCTCGGAATGCCTTTTAATCCACAGTAGTTTAAGCATGTTTAAGTTTGTGCTCCTCCTTGGCTACCTTTAATGGGGTCTGGGACTTATAGCTGGACAGTGCTGCCTTCTTCCAGTAGCACTTCACTTGTGTCACAGCCCTTTCCTCGCTTTTGCGTAACAACCAAAACGCAAACGCTATTGCGTGTTTGCAACCACCTTGTTGTGCCTTGCAACCAATGCAGGTGTCATCTAAACCTAATCACTCTTTCCATTGTGTTGATGACAGCATCAACATCATATGTTTTTTATTCATCTTGTGCTCTGGGGTAAGTTTGTCGACGTTTCCGCGGTGCCTAGACGGCACGCCGTGCATGCGGTCCTTTCGCAAGACCGCTGGAGGAGTCGAGGGCTTTTTGCGCCATGGGACATACATTGAAGTTGCCACTTTGCAGAGCCAAACAATGTTTGCAAGTTGTGTTTGTCGTACCAGCTGTCAGCTTTGCCGCCATTCTGTCAACATAATCTTTCATCCTGAAGTGTGTGTCTGTTTGTTGTGTGGAAACCGCCTCCCCAGATTTTTGTGTGATGAGCTTGACAAAGTTCATGAAGCGTCCTCTCCTTGACTTCCTGCTTTTCCGAAGCGGAGTTAAGGTCTTCTGACTTCGTTGCTTCTAGCAAATCGGGCATCAGAGTCGCATCCAGTTGCAAATCGTCACCGATAATTCAAATAGACCACAAGATAATGCAACCGCTCACCAGATACTTTACATCATACCTACACGGACTGTTTTTATTGTGTCAGCGTTAGCGGGACGTCGCGGATTGCTGTGATCTGATGGGTCGCCGGGGCAGTCGTCCTTCTGGTGGTCTAGCTCGCCACACCGCAAGCAGCGCTGCTTCCCTGGGCTGGGGTCTGCACTAGCACGCCGCTGGCCCTGTAGTCAAATCGAAATGTAGTCAAATCGTCTGCCATATATGGGCCAGAGAGGTTGAGTTTTTCGTTAGAGTTCCGCGATACCACCGGGCAGACATTCACGATCTGACCCAGCATAAGATCCAGCTAGGCGGCTTTCTGCTCGGCAGTCAGACGGATGCCAGTTTACGGCGTTAGCTGTCGTCAAGCTCATCGAAAGCGCTGTAGAGGCGGCCTGGCGAAGCACTGTTGCGTCATCGTGAAGTTGACATTTAACATACGGCATTCCTCCACGACGTCATCCGCCGGGTCTGACGATGGAAACAGAAGGTGTGCCTTTCTTGCTTCCGCAAGAGGAGCTCGGAACCGGCTGACGTAGGTGAGTAGAAACTTCTTGAGCCCATCAACAACCAGGTCTGCCGGATTCGGATTTAACCATTATTCTCTATTTGCCAGTGGTCAGTATAACCTGT